CCACCCCTGACCCCGCCCCAAGCTCCATCCTAGCCCTGCCCCAGCCCTCAACCCCACCCCTGGCCCCGCCCCACCGCGGCCCTCACCTCCACTCCGCTGGTCTACGTGGGCGACACGGACATAACCACTCTGACAGCCCAGAGCTGAGAGGCGCCGGGACGTGCCGGGGAGGTTGTGGACGTCTAGCCAGAGGACGCTGACGGGCAGGTGGATGGACAGGCCCGAGGGCCATTGCTGGGCCCCGCCCCGCCCCTCTGCCTCCCCAGGGGCAGCAACCCCTCCCTGTACCCCTAGGATCCTGCTGCTTGATTCCTCCTGGATAATCCCCACGACCCTAGGGTTGAGTTCACAACTCGTGTTCTCTGGGGTCACCCCTGCTGATCAGTTCCTCTGAAATCATGCCATGGCCTGATTTTCCTGAGCTCTTCCCTGGGGCCCAATTTTTCTAAGGTCCCGCCGCCTTATTTCTCTGATGTCACTGCCCCGGTCCCCAGTGGCCTCTTTTGGGGCCTCTCCTACCTACTGGTCAGGTTCGTCAGCTCTGGGAAGAGGTTTTCCACCGGCTGTTCCTCAAACTGATGCAGACCCTCATTCTGGGGGAACCAAGACCCACCCCACCCCAGGTTAAGCCAGCCATCAGCTTCACACATGCACCTACCCGGCCCCAGCCCACAGCGACCCCCCACAACAGGGCTTTGCCCAGCACGCCTCCCCACCTCACCTCCTTGTAGAGATGAATGGCCAGGTCGTTCCCACTCAGGAGAAACACGGTCTCCAGTTGATCCCCAATCTGGACTCTGAAAGCAAAGAAATCTAGAACCCTCAAGGTAGTGGAATCCATGTGGTCTGAGAACCAGAACTCTCCTCTTGCAAAAACCTGTTGAGAACCCTAACATTCTGAGATCCAGACACTAGACTCAGGGTTAGAATCTCGGGGCTCAAGCGCCTGACTATCCTCTCTCCTTGAAATGCAGAACTGTAGAAAGTAGCCCCCATAAAATCTCAGAATCAGGGAACTGTACAACCTTCCAATCTCAGAATTGCGGGAACGCGGCTTGCTAGAACCTCCCCTCCTAGAGCACGCACCTACTCCTACCTTCACCCTGTGGATTCAGGAATGAAACGTGGAACTCTCCAATGAATTGCAGAACCTCAGAAAGCTAGGACCTCTTTAATCTGAGACCCTAGTATTCTAGAAGTGCTGTTTTCTGTCTCCTTAGAAATACTGGCACTTGCCGGGCATGGTGGCTCACGCCTGTAATCCCAGCACTTTGGGAGGCCGAGGTGGGCAGATCACAAGGTCAGAAGTTCAAGACCAGCCTGACTAACATGGTGAAACCCCATCTCTACTAAAAAAACAAAATTAGTTGGGCATGGTGGCACATGCCTGTAATCCCAGCTACTCAGGAGGCTGAGGCAGGAGAATCACTTGAACTTGGGAGGCGGAGGTTGCAGTGAGCCGAGATCACACCACTGTGCTCCAGCCTGGGCAACAGAGCAACACTCTGTCTCAAAAAAAGAAAAAAGAAATTTTTTTTTCTTCTAGAATTTGAAGAATTCAGAACTTCTAGAATTTGCCAACACAGATTTCAGATTCATGGAATGATAGAATATCCAAGTCCCAGCCAGGAGAACATTAGTGCAATGAGAATCTTCAGTTTCAGGGACTCTCATCTTTTGGACCAGAACTTGGCCAACCATGACCTGCAGACCAAATGCAACCCACTATTTGTTTATGTAAATAAAGTTTTATTGGAACACAGTCGCATCCATTCATTTACAGTGTCAATAGCTGCTTTCTGGCTACAATGGCAAAGTGAGTAGTTGTAACAGAGGCTGGCTCTGAAAGCTTAATATTTCCTATCTAGACCTCTACCAAAAAAAGTTTGCCAATCCCTGTTCTAGACCATCCGTGTTCTGGAATGGAATCTGGAGCTCTACAACGGAACTCACACACTGGAGTTCTAGGACCTTCGGATTCTAGATGTTCTATGTTCTATCTCCTTGAAATATGAGAAAGTTGGGACTTATCATTACAGAACCTCAGAAGATTCTGGTTTCTGTCATATTGTAGAACATTCAAATCTTGGAATCTTAGGGCTTACGACTAGAAAACTTAGCATCTCTGATCTTGGAATGTCAGAATCTAGAACGTTATAATCGGGGAATTTTAGATGTGCAGAATACAGGTGCTCAATCAACTCAGATTATCTAGTTCAGGAATGGTAGGGC